CCCCACCCTTTGGTTTATATCTTTCTATTGCATTAAATGTGAAAATATTCAGTCTTGTCTTATCTCTATAGGACAGCTTTTCAGGGAAGAAAACTTAGGCAGCTGAATGCAATTTACTCAGTACTCAGGACATGCTTTTGAGATAATTTGATATTCATTTTAAGTTGAGCCACTCGTATAATCATCCCTCATCAATCAGATTTTATCAATTAAGTTACTTAAGGTAGTTGTGTGCATTGTTGTAACCTTGCCTTGTTTTTAAGCAGCCCCCATGACTCCCTTTCCTAGTTATTAACACCCAGCTGGATTCTCCATAAGCTTAGCCTTTATATAAGGCTTGAAGTAAGTTGGTGGTGGGGGGAGTGGACTTCAGCCGTGTTCAGGACAAGGAATGGAATGATGAAAGCCAATGCTGTGATTTTCATCCAACAGGGTGCTGCTCTGTGTGGCCTACCTGGCTCCATAATATAGCACAGTTATCTTCTTATCTCCAGTGACTTTGTCCTTAGCAGGTATGCCTATTAGACATGGTAATGCTTCAAGAGGTATGCATACTTAAGTATTAATATTGATGACAGTAATAACAATAATCAGATTGGTAGCAGAATCAAATTAATGTGGTCTCCCGCAGCAGAAATATTTACCCGATGTGTCCTGCCAGTTAGAGAGATTGGCATTAAAGCTAGACATTACCTCATCTTCCTGGGCAGACAGCCTATTTCTATGCTAAGCAAGTCTGCAGGAGTGAACAACTGAATACCTGCCTGATTAGCTCTGCAGTGGCAGATCTTGGTTGGAAGTGATTTCCCTTAGTGCTTTCCCTCTTTTGCTTGCTCTCCATCTCTGCAAGCTTTGTCACTATGCATTATCAAACCATGTTTTTCATCTTGAAGGGCACGTTGCGGGTAAGATTTGCCAGACAGGTGGGCAAGTATAAATGCTGATCCAAATCGGAAAGGTCACGATGAACAGAAGGAAGAAAAGTAAATGTGTGTGTGTGTGTGTGTGTGTGTGTGTGGAATGAGTGTCCCCCTTCTCACCCTCTGTATATATCTGTGCTAGGCAGGTGAAACTAGATTAATGAGGAAATGCAAGATAAAGACCAGAAGGATTCTGCTATGAAAAGGAGATTTTGTTTTTAGCACAGGAGACGGTTCCAGTCTCAGGGAAGGTAGGAATTAATTGGCTGACAGTGATAAAGCTTTGTTCTTAGGATGCAAATCTTTTCTTATTGGAAATAAAATCCCATAAGATCTCTCCCACCTGGTACTTCTATAGCTGTCTATTTTTGTGGATTTCAAAACACTTCACAAACTCTGTAGGATTAGACCAGTCCTCCACATGTGCTTCACATAAGACAAAAAGCAGCAAGGGATGCTGGGTATTTGGTTCTGCCTGCAATCTTCCTCTCCCTCCTAGAGTTAGTCTCTTCTGCTAATGATCTTTCATCCTCAGTGTGACTCAGAAGGCTGGTAGCTAAACTGTCCCAAGGTCACTCTGTTAACAACTTTTGGAAATGTCAATGATTATTACTAGAGTCCTGACTCCTGTCGCTAAACCACTGCAGCTCTCTAGATTTGTGTTTTGTAGAAAAAAACCAGTCACATATAAATAATATGCTTAAGTAACTTTAAAAAAAGAAAGAAAAGAGATCATAGTATTAATTCTCTGTTTTCCTTATTTGACTTGATAGAATGAAGAAGTCGCAAATCATGTGAGTTCCATGGAAAGCATTCACAGTAAGAAAGATAAGAGTTGCACATGTATCAGAGTTTGGAAGCTTCTAATGTTCTAACAGAATTTGAAGCTTTTTCTGTCTCTCCCCTTTGCAGGATGAGTGTGTATGCTAGGGTGGGCATCTTTAGCTTAGTATTGCAACAGAAGGCAGATCAAGATTCTGACAGGATTCTGCAGCTTTCATTTCTCTTGTGTGTGCATGTGGTGCACTTATTAAGGTTTAGTAATTTCAGTGCAATATTCAGTGCTATTTTTCTAGAAAAAGAGGTGCTGGAACTCACAATGAACACCTCCATTGTATTCTTAGAATGACAATGGCGCCCACCTGAGAGGTGCCAGGACTAAGAGGTGCCAGAACTGAGTTCTGGTGAGTTCCAGCTGAGAAAAACCCTGGCAAGAAACATTGCATTGGATGGTGTCTGACCTTGTTGCTTTTCAGATGTATTTCCTTCAAGGCTTGCACATCTACGATACAAAGGCCAAACTTCTAAAAGCACCAAGTGCATAAATAATTTTTGGGGGGGGGCGGGGAGGAAAAAGGAAATAACCCTGCAACAAAGAGTTGTATACTTCATCACAGAATCACTAGAAAAGCTAATCAAGATTGTTCTCTATGTTTAGGTCTCCCAGCTGTGTAAAAACTGCTTACTGGCGGTTAGTTTACAAGGCTGCATTGTGGGCAGGATTGTATGGGGTCTATCCCATGAAACTCTCATCCTTGATTGCATAGGAAAGGCCCATGACATTGTGGCTAGCTTATTTAAATGCAGGCCTGGGTGGGACCTGCTCACCAATAAGAAACTTCTATTCAGCTGGAAGAATGTTTAAAGGGCACCTACACTAGCCTGGAAACCACCCATAAATTCAGGGCTTGCCCTACCATTTGGTTGAATGAGGCAGCTGTCTCAGGTGGCAGATGCTAAGTGGTGGGGAGTTGTTGGAAGAGAGAACTATGTATTCTGTGCGACCTGCACTACACTATCAAAGCTAGCTTACTGCTATTGAGTATGATGTTCCATTACCTAGTATTAAGGTCTTCCCCTCACCTTTTACATAGAATGGCAGAGAGGCATCATTTTCCCTTTGTCTCGGGCAGAAAAATGGCATGACCCATCCCTGTGTGGATCTACAGTGCAATACCTTCTTGATTCCTGATGTACAGTGGTACCTCGGGTTACATACGCTTCAGGTTACATACACTTCAGGTTACATACGCTTCAGGTTACAGACTCCGCTAACCCAGAAATAGTACCTCGGGTTAAGAACTTTGCTTCAGGATGAGAACAGAAATCTTGCTCCGGCGGCGCAGCGGCAGTGGGAGGCCCCATTAGCTAAAGTGGTGCTTCAGGTTAAGAACAGTTTCAGGTTAAGAACGGACCTCCAGAACGAATTAAGTACTTAACCTGAGGTACCACTGTATTTGCAGGGGATCCTGCTGAATCTTGGCAAAGGTCTAATTCACAGGAGAGCAGGACCATGGCCAGCTCACTGTGGAGACACCCAAGAGCAACAAGCTTGCAATGTTGTTTCAGCAACTGTCTGGAGCCAATGGAGAGCTAATCCTAGCCTTCACCAACCTAGCACCCTCCAGATATTTTGGCTACAGCTCTCAAGTCATAGTCCAAAACATCTGGAAGGCTGTTTAAGTAGTCCCACTGTTAAGTTGATGTTTCAAGCTGTGCCCCATATGAGGAACCTGTTTGGGCTGTTCATATTTCTCAAGTGAAGGTTCCAGATGAATTGAGGGACTTCCTGCTACCCCAGGATATAGCGCAGTAGTGCTCAGAGCTCTGAGGAGGAGCCACATGAAACAGGCAGGGTGCCTCCTCAGTCCGTACAGATGAATACATTGCTGGCTTCTGAGATTTCCCTCACATGAGGGTCTCTGGAAGTGGGAATTCTGAGAATTAGATTTTTTATTTCCACGTAGACATTGCTTACTGTCTAGAGATCTCAAAGCAGTTTATAACTGATAAACACAATAAAAACATGTTTTACGTAAAAAACCTGATAAACTGTATCCATAAACACAATATAAATCCTGTTGTCACAGAAGCCATTTGAGACTCCAGTGACAGGTTGGAATCAAGAACTACTCCCCAACTACAAGCCTGTTTTTTAAAAGTAGAGTGCAACCCTTGCCAGAACAGGTTGTACACGTAATTCCTCAACACAGAAGCCACCCACCTATAGCATTTCTGTCTTATCAGAATTCAGCTTCACATTATTGGCCCACATCCAGTCCATCATTGCTTCCAGACACTGGACCAACACCTCCACAGTTTCTCCTGATTCCAGCTGATGGAGACATAGAGTTGGATCTCTCTTGGGTGTGACACCTTGTTTTTCCCCCAAGCTAACACTAAGGAGGTCACAGTACAAGCAATCCACATCTTCTTGATTTCTGAACCTCCTAGGACTGAATCCAGGCATACATTGTGTCTGTCAAGCTAGCAAATGCCAAAGATAATTTGGACTTTTGTTAAGATATTTTCTCTTTAGTCAACTGAAGGATCAGTTACCACTGAACAAATTTGAGGTCCACTTTATGTGTTTTTGTTATTTCTGTGCATAGATGAATGATAACATTTTAAGGCAGGAAGTGTGTGTGGTGTAAATATGTCACAGAGATGCATCTGGGACAGAGTTAATTTTGGTTGCTTGGCATATGTCCATTGTGTGCCTTCAGAAATGTGTGATTCCCCCCTCAAGCTGTTCACCCCATGACATCCGGTAGACATGCTGAAAACATACTTGCTATGTAAAGTGTGAAGTTGCCCCAAATTTGGTTCCAAGGGTAAAGATCTTAAGACTGAAGAATAAGGCAAGAAAAATACCAGAAAACTGAGGTGTTGAGGATGTACTGGGTTTCTTTAGGAAATAGTACAGTTTGACAGATTAGAAAATGACACTTTTTAAAAAAATAAATAAATTTATATATATTTTTAAAACTACTAAATATTCATGTGTTTTGGATCTTTGTTTGTGTGTACTTGGAATATTTAAAAAAAATTCAAGAGAGTTAAAGGTCAGTTGCAGAAAGACAGGCTACATAAAAAGAATATTCCATGCAAGTCGGTTTAATGAAGAAAAAAATATTTAGGGATATTTGTTTTCTGTGCATTGTATTTAAAGCAGGCATCCCCAACCTCGGCCCTCCAGCTGCTTTGGGACTACAATTCCCATCATCCCTGACCACTGGTCCTGTTAGCTAGGGGTGATGGGAGTTGTAGTCCCAAAACATCTGGAGGGCCGAGTTTGGGGATGCCTGATTTAAAGGATTCATATGAAAGAGGTCTTTCACAATTACAGTTATTAGGTTAAGCTAATAATAACGCTGCTAGTGGTAAAACATTGCACCCCATGTGTTATGTATTCAGTGATTTGTGTTTGCCTGAGCTTGAGTCTGGACTAAGAATTCTGAGCTCTTGTGTTCTGATTCGATGCATGATGTCCAGTCACAGAACATTTCAGGATTTGGGCCTCTGCCATTGACCCTTGAACTCTGAGTCGTGATTCGCATCTTGGAAGTTTAGACAGCTAATCACGTTGAGAATGGGAGTGGCCCAGGCTTTCAGGAATGTATATAAGCAGTTGCTTTGCCCCTGTTTCCCAGTTATGTAGTTCAATAAAGGTTCTTGCTATTATCACTGTGTCTTGCCTCGTGGAAACCCACCTACACTTCACCATGCATGCAGCCTGTCGGAAACATCCAAACACTGTAGATCCACTTGTGTCCTGTATGTACTTTTGGTCATGCACTACAGAAATAATAAGTACTGTTCATGGAGGATGTGGTTTTTTAATGTCATGTACTACCCATTTATGTATATAAGACTTAAAGAATGGATCCTGTAAGGCTAGTCTTCAAACACTGCAGTAAAATCCTTTGAGAAATTATGGTGTTCACATTCTTATTAGGTGGTTAGGCACTCAATTAACCACTGTGTGCATGGAAATTTCTGTTTGCTTGGGAATAATTTCATGTTTGATCAACATGGCCCTGAAAGTTCTTTCTGCTTAGTGGGATGATAAAATATTTATGGATAGCAGATCTTTACAAATGTCCAAGGGGATTTAGCAATTCAAACATAATTAAAAGAAATATCAAACAGGTACCTCTTCAGTTTCTGCCTCTGAAAGGAAAGAGTGAAATTATACTTCATGGAGCAGAACTATTAAATGTTCTGCCCTTTAGCATCTCTTGAGATCATAATAGTGTTGTGCAGTATTTTATAGTCTGATTAAGAATATGTTACCATGATTCAGATGGTGAATGCTAAATTGAACATTCAGATTACAGTGGTACATGTGGAATATTCTGGAATCAGGCGCTACCCTCCTGGGATCCTGTCCATGTTTGTGTTGCTGCTTCTGCTGCAGTACTTTCTTATCTTTAGGGAAGAGGAGAGAAAGGGGAAAATGCTTCATGTTTCAGGGCGAAAACTGTTGTTATTGTTCAACTTGAAGTGATATTTCAGGAAGTACAAGCAGTCCCTCCTGGTTTAAGGAGGTAAAAACCTGAGTGTGGATGCCATACTAGAATAGAGTAAATGCTATAGCTTGCATTTCTTGTGTGGTGCAGGCTTTTCCTAATTTCCCTTGGATTCCCTTCCAAAAAGAGTCTGAACAGGGGAAACTTAACAGTGTTTAATTTACACTTGGCTGTGAAAAGCTGAGGGGGGGAAATCTAAATCACCCAGTGCTGAAGTGTCAGAGAGTGAAGCAGTTACACTATCATTGGTGCAATAAGATTTGATGTTTAAAGCAGTCTGAGGAGTAAAAATGCAGGTTACCTTTATAATGGATTTTAGAGACTGGGTATGAGATTTCGTTTAGGTTATGATTTAAGACTTTATAAGAATCAGCTCACACAGTGGAACAAAACCGGAGCAAAGGGAATGTTGCATTACCACTTAAAGCACTTAAAGATGGGACCACCATTGTGATCTCTTTGGTTCAAAAGTGGCACACAAGGTGGGGGTCGAGTCACTTGGCTAGCTTCCTGGAAGGTGGGTCACTGATGCTTACCAAGAGGGAGAGGGACAAGGCGGTAGGGTGGTTGGCATGGTGCGATCCACTGGCTAGAGTGCTGGATTGACTCACAGGCAAGTTTACACCATACCAACCTCCCCACTACTTTGCCCTTCCCCATCTTCCCTTCTGGTGGCTCACCTGCTGGTGAACTAGCATAGCAGCTTCAGTCCACCCAGTGAGGCATTTCTGCCATGCCACTGAGCATCTGGAACGTGTGCAGCCCATTATGGAGTGATCTCCATTGAATTTATAGGATTGCAGCCTTACAGTGCATAGGATTGTGCTATTAGAGAAAGGTTTGACAGGCTTTAAATAAAAGTAAGCACTGTTTCTATTAAGGCTGCTAAGATTGTTGGCAAATAAGTTGAATATCATACCTGACAACATCAGATTGCTTTTATCCAAGGACAGCAGTTGGGGGATAATTAGTTGGACAACCTCAATTATGAATAAATGCAGTCTCGCCAAAGGAGAATTGATGTCACAGTTGTCACTGATGTTGAATTGTTATTTCTGCTTTAAACTTTACGGCACTTAAGTAAGGTCCTTTAAAGTAGGTAGAATGAAGGATGCAGATTAATGAACAGGTTTCAGAGAAAATTGGACTTCAGAGAAACACCTAGCAAGAACGTCTTCTCTCATCTCAGGTATAGAACTTCTAGCCATGTTTGATAACACCAGTACAAGAGATTAGCTATGCGTTCTAAAGTAAGTCTCATTTTTAAGGTTAAGTTTGACCAACAATAATATAAAAACAGTCTTTGCTCCAATTACATAATGTTAATCTCCTCCCATCATAACATTATTTTTCATTATGTAAAACAGTCTTTGTAAATGATTAAACTGCATTAAATTAAACTGAGTTATTGGGACATAAGTTATTTGTTAAAGAACAGCTCAGGGTTGGAGATGGGTGAAAATGCTGACTGCTCTTTGATTGTAAAAGTCAGCATTTCTCTCTGTGGGACCACTGTGCTAATATCAGAGATAAGCCTCTGCCTGCTGCCTTTTACTGTCAAAGGGCAGACAGAAGCTTATCTACAGTCTTCGCACAGCGGTGCTTAGTGGTGAGATCCGAGATCCCTTAGCTCCAGCTAAACTATTAAATATGGTTTATCATAACATGGGAACGCTACCAGTGTTTTCTCATAATGCCAGACCACTCTTTAACATTACATCCGAATGCAGCCTTTGAATTTGAACAGTCTTTTGTAAGAGTTAAATGTCTAAACTATCAGCACTTTATCAGTGTAGTGTAATGAACAAAGCGATCATTTCTGGAAATGATTTTAGTTTGATAGTTGCTTTCTTGGCTGTTTTTGTTATGAGTATTAGTCACTGTGGGTATCTCATTTGGGGACTGAATGCTGGGAAACGTTTTTTCCAAATGAGTCAAGGGAGCAGTTCTAAAGATGGCCAAAGGTTGGCTGAGGGTACATCAGAAGCAGTGTAACCTTCACTCTGCCAGTAGGAGGCCTGCCGGCCAAATGTCACTTACACCTCTGTTAATATAGATGTCCCTTTGATGGTGTTCCATTGGCAATGGAGGCCAAAACAGGGCACATCAGGGGTAGTCAAAAACCCCCATAGTCCTCCTTGTTCCCATACATCCAAAAAAGTGAGAATTGGGTATAGTTCATTCCTTCCATTGACTTTTGTTCTAGCCAAGGTAGAAAGGGGAACTGTCTTCCTCTCCTGCCCTGGTCACAGCAAACTGGCAGGGATTCTGCTCAGCAACAGAATTATACCACTACAGCCTGAGGATTGATCTGTTTATACAAATTGAGATAAATATTCAATAATATGATTTCTCCATATGAAAACTTTTGTGGGGGTGGGGAGGATGCCACCAATTCCACTTGTATCGGGCAGGGTCATCGTGTGTAACTGGTATTTGACATCTGAAAAATGAACAAGACTATAAAAGGTAAAGGTAAAGGACCCTTGGATGGTTAAGTCCAGTCAAAGGCAACTGTGGGGTGCAGCGCTCATCTTGCTTTTGGGGACTACTGGTTCAAGCACTGGTGTTAGTCATGTGTAGCCAATTATCTTTGTATTTGGTCAACGTGCTCAAAATAAGTGTGATCTCGTAATCAGATGGTTTGATTAGGACCTTGAAAAATCAGGGTTCAAATCTTTACTCAGCCATGAAGCCCACTGGGGGGCCTTGGACAGTCTTTGAGCCTAACTTACGACACAGGCTTGTTGTGAATGGAGAGGGGGGAAAGTATGCACACCACATTGAACCCCATGGAGGAAAAATATTATGTAAGTAGTAATAATGGAAAATAATAAAATTGTATCAGGAATACTAAAATAGTAAAAGAGAGTAACATCTCAAATCTATGCATGTCTACTCAGAAGCAAGTCCCATGGAGTTCAGTGGGACTTATTTCCAAATAAATGTGTCTAGGTTTGAAGCATAAAACAATTACTAAGGATGGTGGTCCCTTAGACCCCTAAAATAGTGGTAAACCAAGAACAAATGGTTACAGCTTGTGGTTTGTTTGGAGTGAGACAAACCATAAATTCAGGTTTGGATGTAGTGCTAAGCCAAGCCATGGCTTAGTTCCTGGTAGCATAATAGCTGCAGCAGCGGATGAGGAACCATGGCCCATGGTTTTCTCACTACACACCAGCATGCTTGCTTGAGCTGAATCACAACTTCATTAACAATAGCTAAGATCCTTAAGGTTCTGAGAAACAAAGTCTGGTATGTTGCCCAGATTATCAAATTGAGAGGTATTGTTTATCTGATGGATGAACGAGAGAATGATGCTCTCTCCCCTTCCCCTAAGCTAGAGGCATTTATTTGGTTTGTTTTAAATGAAATCACAATATTGATTGACATATATAATTGTTTTTCAATACTACAGCTGAAAACAATTTAGTTCAAAACAAATGTTTGATATGCTTCATATTGATGTAGGCTGCAATCTTATACCTCTTATCTAGGAGTAAGCCTCAGTGAACTCAGCTTGCCTTACTTTGAGTAGACATGTATAGGATTGCACAATGAATTGCATACTTTTGGAAGCAACTTTCCATTTGATTTCCCATGCAGAGAATCAAGGACTGCTTTCAAAATACATTGCACATTTTTCTTGGCTGCCCTGTTTTCATCTATAATTCTGAATATAAGTCAATCAACAACTTGCTACTTTTATTTTTCTAATGATTGTTTTTCTCTTCGCTTAGTCTGTTCTTAGCAGCTGAATTAGGAAGAAATGTGAAGGTTGCTGAATGTTATTTAGTCACCCAAGCATTCTGTGAAATTCAGTGTTACTGAAAAATGAGTGCGTTTGTGTTCGTCTCTCACCTTGTAGTATGTGCGATATCTAATCCTTGGTTTTCTCCCCCCCCCTTTTGAAGTGGAAAGTCTTTAACCAAGGAAAGTCTGTTCTTATATTATGCACTGCAAGTGATGTTGGGGTTTTTTTTTAATACCCTCAAAAATTGCATGTCAAGATGAACCTTTCATGAGTAGCTTTGGCATTTGACAGGTTCCCTTCGTGTTCTGTATCCCCTGATGCAGAACAGAGTTTAGTAATTTACAAGGTTGGAAGTCCTTGTACAGAAATTGCATACCAAATAGTAAAATACGCAGGGAATATACTGTTTTTAATGTGTGCATAAGGGCAGATCCAAACAGGCACCTTCTTCTTTATGAGGTGGAAGTCCTATTACTTTCCATAACGTTTGGCTCTTCTGTCATGTTTTGGGGTCCATGTATTGAAAGAAGCAGAGGGCCTGTTCTGCTGACCCTTCTCCTGATGTTACAAGGCTGCCCCAGGGCCCAATGCTGCCCCCCAACACTAGGCATTTGCACACTTCCTCCCTGCAAAGCAGACAGCGACAGTTCATGCACAGATTTCAGAGGAGAAGTTGGGAGAAGATCTACAACATCAGGGATGGGTGTCAGGATACGCCTCTCCGGGCATCCTCCTGATGTTGCGTAGCTCCAGGACGGCCATAAATCATCAGTCCCAGCACGCTCCAACGACACTCAGCAGATGCCTACGTGCACACTCACTCAGCAGAAACGAAGTGGAGAACTGTGCTCATTCTAAGCTTTTATTCAGCAATATATACAGGACAAACGTTCATGGCGTTTTCTTACTCTAGCTCCGAGAGAGAACAGTAAGTAAAAAATACAAAAACACAAAAAGCGGAAGAAATAAGGCTAACTTCCGCTCTCAGGCTTTTCCAAGCCTAGAAAGTAAACATGGACCTGTGATGTAACAATCACACACACAGCGATAGAGGACTGATATACTAACAGTAGTATGGCCCCTCTGCCCATTTAATAGCATGAATCCCTTTGTAAGTAGAAGGAGCCTCCCATGATGACACTACCATTTATTAAAGAAGACCAGTCTATAAACACTACAGATTACTTTCCCTACCCTTACAGTACTGCTGTGTTTCATACAGGACTCCCTATGGTTATGTCCTGATTATTATTTTTGCCTGTCTAGCTGCATGCCTGTGGAGATTAGACAGGCACCTTCACCATACTGTTTTAGGTGCCTGCTGAGAACTTTTCTGTTTCAGCAAGCCTATTCAGACACATGATTTGGTTACATCTATTTTAGGTTTTACAATGATTTTATCTTTGCCTTTAATGTTCGGTCTATATATATTTGTTTTCAATTGGTTTGTGTATTTTACTCGTGGTTTTATATGTAATTGGACTCGTACGCCGCTTGGAAAAAAATTTAAGCAAGCAGTTTATACATTTTCTTTAAAAAAATTCTTGTGATGTGAAGTAATGGGAATGATTACCCACTTACAGCTGCCATGGCACTAATCCTCAACTAGCACCAGTAGCCTGAGACCTATCCAGATGCAATGGATAAATCTGGAGAAGCCTTACTGCAAAGGGAAGAGCCAGTTCGGTTTCTCTTTGTTCCCTGACTACAGCTGCTTATCTAGCCCAGGTGTCGGGAACCTGTGGTTCTCCAGATGTTGCTGCAGTTATTCAACTCCCATCATTCCTGACTATTGGCTATATGATCTACTGTAAGGTTGATGGAGGTTAGAAACAACATATGAAGGGCCACAGGTTCACTACATTTGCTCAAGGGAAAAGCTTTAAAAAGGGATGGGGGCTTCTGTGAGTGTTTATTTGATACACTCCAGTTATTTACAGAAGAGGTTCAAGATTTAATATTGTTGATTTGATAGAAATCTAAAAAACAACCCATGCATTTCCTATGTAAACCAATTATGTACAAGTCAGACAAGACTAATTATTAGTATATGTATTTTGTTATTTGCTGTTTTTCAAATTGGATTGGGCATGTGTGTGTGCATGTGCATGTTTTAAAATTGCTTCTTAATTTTTGGTGGAGTCTCAAATGTGGAGAAGTGAGAGTGTTTTGATACACTTTACTGTGTGTTTCTGAACTTTCGAAAGTTTCGATTTCTCTATATCTAACATTAACTCATTGCCATGATTTTGCAAATTGGATTCCAAATAATTAAGCCTGTATTCTATAATAAATTCTTCCTGAGGTACAAGCTTTCTCCCTCAACTCCTATTTAATATATATTTTGTGTGTTTTATATATATATTATGCTGTAAAAATACTAATGACAGTGATGTAAGTTAAGGAAAGAATTTCAACATTGGCTTTCAAGTTTTTTGCTTTTGCAAACTGCTGTCATGACCTAAATGTTGATCTAGTATAGAATTTGGTGATTTAATTTCCTGTGGGCTTTTAATGGTAGTATTAAAAGTGAATCGAATGGAACTATGTAAAATATCTTTGTGGGTGTATTTCTGTATTTACTTTAATGGCTGCTTTGCAACTTTTAAGATTTTAGTAGCTCTCCAAGGCATTCATGTGAGCCAGTGCTAGGAACTTGTATTATATATTTGAGAAATAAAGTCTTCCCAAATAAAGGTGTGTTGGTGTTAAATATTTTGAGCCAAGTGCAAAAGGTTACAAAGAGCTAGGAAATTACCACAACTCACATCTAATCCTCATTCTTGCATATGTTATGCAGTAAATTAGCTGTTTGTTTTGAAATCTGTATTTTGAGGACAGGAAATTGAACATATTAATAATCATATTCAGTTATCCATTTGTTATATTTATACCCCTCCATTTTTCAGGCCAGGGCGTGAGTTCCATTAGTCTATCAAACAGGTTATGATCAAGTATAACTCTATGATCAAACATAACCCTAATCTACCACTGGACCCAAGCAATATTATATATAGAAGCTACATACCAATAAAGGACCATTGGAACCAAAACCTCTCTCAAACTACTCTCAGCACATTTACATACTGTTGGCTTTTTCTATCCTCACTTCTAAGCACTTGTTTTGAAGAAAAGTGGAGAATTCCTCTTCCACATCATCCTTGTATAATCTGACTGAGATGTTATAATGCTGGTCAACATCTCAACTGCTAAACTGTGATGCTCTAATTTGGAATATGACAAACATGGCTTTTTAGAGGCTAACTTTGCCTCTAACCTCATAACCTTCCCATTGTTTCCTCATAACCTTCCCATTGTTTCAGTTGACATGTGGTATCCTGCTATTGTAGGAATCTAACCCTGGGCCTGGAAGATGTCCTGGTCTCCTAAATCCTACTCTGGCCTTAATAAGCAAAGCCATCTTGTTTACTGTCAGAATAGCAAGTGCAATACTGTATAGCAATTTTATTACGAGTGCCTGAAATTTATCACATTGCTAAAGTGATAGAAAAGATTTGATTCAGAAAAGAAGAGTAGCTTCATAGATATAGGAAATATCACAGAATCATAGAGTTGGAGGCCATCTAGTCCTTGTAAGTCATCTGGTCCAATGCTTTGCTTGATGGCATAAAATTGAAGCAGGGCTACAGTATCCTTGACAAATGGCAGTGCACTCTCTGCTTGAAGACCTCCAGTAAGAGAAAGCCCCTGCTCCTGGTTATTAGTTTCATTGTCAAATTGCTCTTAACTATTAAGAGGTTTCAACTGGTGTTCCACTGAAATCCCCCCTCCTGTAACTTAAGCCCATAAGATCTACTCCTGCCCTCCAGGGCAACAGAGAAGTGCCCGCCCTCTACTTGTCAATATGCCAAGAACATTTTTGCCTCTCTTCAGAAGTCTCCTGTAGTGACATCTGGCCAGCTGCCTGCACTGCAGCTGCAGTGACCTTTCAGGAAGAATTGCCTGCAGTTTTTAATTATTTCATGTTCCTTCCTTTTATACACTTCAGGGAGACTTTTGCCCGATAATGAAAAAAGCAGCATTTAAAAACAAATGGACAATCAAAATAGCTGCACAATCTACCTGGTTGTGCTGCTGTATTTCAAGCGGGTGGGTGAGTTGTCCATTCAAATGTGAAAAATGACACCGTACACATTGAAAAACTGACAGCCAAAAAGACAAGTTCTACATGGTACAGTACTTCCGAAAAACCCTCTAGGAAGTTTGGCTCCTTCAAAGTCGAGATCACAAAGCTGAAGTAAATAATGCATGCTTTTATGAGGAAATCTCTCATGTTGCCTTGGGAAGAACCATTCTTTATATTAATGAGTCAAACAGAGAGAACAGAGTTGAAAGCCAGAACTATAGAGTGAAAGGCAGTGGGCTGAGGGGTTTCTCCCCACTTACCCTCTTTCAAATGCCAGTGAAATACATGGAAATGCAGGTTCAATGCATAATCTGTACTGGAAGTGGGGAACTACAGACATTATTGGCAAAACGAAGCATGATTTTAATAGTCATTAAGGAACAAGAATGGAAATCAGAACAGAAAATTTAACAAAAAGCTAAAATGCAGTGCCAGTTGTCAGGCTTCTAAGTATTTCCTTTTCATTCTGTCTTTTAAACTGCTTCTTCTTCAATATATGTGGATAGATATATTTATGGTTTTACAGAATGTATAGCAAAACAAACAAAAGTGAATAAAAAACAGTTAAGCTCAAAGAAGAAACACTGATATATTCATTACTTCCGTAAATCACTGTACAGCAATCACAAGGTAATTACTTACCTATCTAGATGCATAGTTAAGAAGTCCAAAAAGGAGATTTCACAGTAGGAAACATATTTATAAAGAGATGCCGCAGTAAGAGGACCAATTTCCGCGTAAGAAGCGAAGGGATGCTATTTGCTATAATAGGCATTGGGCTTGGCTAATCCCTAGGAAAGAGTTGGTGGGCTGATTTCTCTATAATTGCCTTGTCACAAGCGCTGTAATGGCATGCTGCTAAAGTTGTGGATTTTCATTCTTTTGCCAATTCCAGCTCTGTAGCTTCTAATAAGGATATCATTAATTTTTTATGCAGCATCATCTGGGAAAGTACTCAAAAGAGCTAACCTAGGGTAGTATTCAGTTAAGTTTTACCCAGAGTAGAGCCACTTAAATTAATGGACCTAATTTAGCTGTTTTCATTACCGGTAATTTCAGTTGGGCTACTCTGAGTAAAATGTCGTTGACACTGAGGATCTAGGTTAAGCTGATGAGGATTCTTCCCAATTTTGTAGGTAACATTCAGAATTTATATGCCTTCTACTTATAATACAGGGTGTCTGAAGAATCTTGGCTTTTCCAGGACTTACTTGAGAATGTTGTGATGGTGATGACATCAGTGGGTTGTACCAGTTGCTGCTACCAACTCAACAGCTCTGCACCTACACATCTGGGCACCTGGTTCCCATCTGTATTCAGCAACACTGTGCAGAGGAAGCTAGCAGTCCTTCAACATACTTACACATGGGCCATTACATGAGTTTTGTGAATTATTTTGTTTTGACTGTCTTGGCTCTACTTCCAGTCCATTTTGTTGGATGTTCGCAGGCTCTAATACTCTCTATCCAGTTTAGTGTTAAACACTTATGCCACATTCTTTTCCTTTGCCCTTTTCTGAATCTTCTTGAGCTCCACTGTATCCTTTCTGAGGGAGGGCATCCAAAACGACATAGTTTTGCAAATTTACCTGCACCATAGATTTATTCAGAGGCATTTTGATACTGCCACCCCTCCCCCAGTTCCTTTCCCAATGATTCCTCACATAGATTTCACCCTTTTCACTGCCACTACATATTGAGTTGACATGTAGCTGATTTACCAGGTAAACCAGTACCCTCTTTGCATCTCCTCTTGCTCCTTACAGGTCCCTTCACCTTTTTAGGAGTTTCCTCCAACTTTTCTTGTCACTAGACTATTGTTTTAAATCAGGCCTTAGCACTTTCACTAGACCACCAGAACTCTGTCCCTCTCTTACTGTGGGTCTTATCTTTGCTTCATGCAGCCATGCCCAGAACAGTCACCATTCTTATTTGAACATAGTGAAAGTGCAAGATACATCAGTTACACCTGATAGTGGGAACTTCTCTCTTGGATAACGGGAAGAATGCATGTTTTGTCCCAGCTTTTACTAACATCGGAATCCAATTTACACTGAGCTAAACCATTGGTCCACCTAGTTCAGTGCTGTGTACACTGATTGGCAGTGGTAATTTAGAGTTTCAGAAACAGTTCTTTCTGAGAACTGCCAGGGATCGAATCTGGAATCTTATGCTTGTAAACCACGTGCTTCTAACTTTCAGGGCTCTTATTTTTCTGCACATTTGCAGAGTATTTGCTTTGATTTTCATGTTTTTATCAAGATTCTGGGAGCTCAAGAATGATCATAACAATATGTCTACATGGAATCTGGCAATTCCATATTAGAACTTCTAGCTTTGATAATCCCGGGTGCTTCTTCAACCACACTGCTAATTCCAACACTCAGCTATTGCAGTTTGTGTCTTATTGGAGCTGAATATGCCTGCATTTTCCACTGAAGTACTTACATTTGTGCTCAATTTTAAGCTATGCATTTAAACAAATTTGTGATGCTTGGTTTGAAACCAGTCTCCATTAAGGTGTTCTTGATGTGATAATATTAACTTTTGTAGCTGAGTGATTGGTTGGTTTTAAGATTCATTGTATTCAATAAGGTTTGGCTGTGATGCATAATGGAAAATGAAAGGCAGTCCTAACAGTTTCCTGTTATATAGAAACCTACCGTCTGTTTCATACCGAGAGGCCAATTGGGTATCAATCATTAATTTTTGTCGGTTCATCTTTCATTTCATGCTGTGTCTAGCAAGACTTGATTTAAATGTTTGAGTAATTTGCATTCTTCCTTCCCACTTCCAGCACTTCATAATTGCTTTTTATGCAGACATACCTTTATTCACAGATTTTGCAATATGTTTCTTCAAGAGATAGTTCGCAAGAAATTCCAGCTTGCCTTCTTCTTTGACCAGCCTCATTCCTTTAAATAGACACAGATAGATTTCTGGGAAATGGTTACAATATCTCAAACTCTTTTAATGATAAATGTGATTTGTACATGTTTCAGTTGTTTAAATAAGTTTGTGAATATGCACCATGGCCAGCTGTCATGTACATTAATTGTTCAACTTACATTCACTTTTAACATATCTGATTAGGGCAGTTGAAGGTTAGGATTCAGTTGAAGGTTAGACACTTAATTAGCCAATTTAACTGATTATATGAGGGTTTGGTTTCACCAACTGAAAGCTACAAATCTATTTTGTGGGATATTAATGAAGGTTACAAAACTTTCTGATTTTAAATAATAGGGTTTTTAAAAACAAAACCAGGGTTGGGAACCTTTGGCCCTCCAGGTTGGACTTCAACCCCAGCCAGCCTGATCAGTATCAGGAATGATGGGAGTTGGAGTCTATCCACATCTGGAAGACCACAGGTTCCCCATCCCCGTTTTAGAAAATGTCTTCAAACGAATTTCCAGAATTTAAGAGCTATTCATAGGGTGTGTGCAAACATGGCACCAGGCCTGCAAATCTGGCGCCATTTTTGAAGCCTCTTCACAGGTGGCAGTTCTGCTTAGAAACAGACTAAACTTCAATATTTTCAATTTGTGTTTAATGTTGTGTCTAATTAATACCTTCAGCCTTGTTAACTACCAGACTGCTTTATTTTTCCATGTTGTTTTTAAAGCATGGGATTTTGAAATTAAATTTAAAAATGCAAGAAACAAAAAGGAAGAATGCATAACAATGCAACAAGATCACCAATTAAGGGAAAAAGAAAACTCACTGATTATTGTACTTGTATATCACGGGTAAGCTTCTGGGACAATTAGAAATAAAACAGCTTGAGGAGAGGCTCACTAACGGTTAAGAGAGTTTGGATGCGAAAGTTATGTGGCTGAATAATAGTCAGGAAAAAATACACCTCTTCTTGATTGAAATTTGATCAGAAGTGCAAATGGTTTTCACATAGGAGAGAAGCGGAAACCATGGCACCATAACATCTTTTTTAAAAATGTGATTCTTTGCCTATTGCTTTTACTGAATAAGTTTGTACACAATAATGGTCTTCTGAGTTACATATACCTCCTGCTTTTTAGAAGATTGCTTCAGAGGCTTCTAGGTTCATGGTAGACATGACTTGGCTGCTGTATACAAATTATATTTCTAAGCATTGCAAAGGCATTTTTCAGGCAACTCAGAGCCCCCTTTTTTTTCTAGGCAGTGATTTCCATCTTCTCATGGAAGGGTTGGGGAATCTGCAGCTCTCCAGAGGTTGCTGGACTACAACTTCCATCCCCCTGGTGATTGGCCATGCTAGCTGGGATTGATAGGATAGGTCCAACTACAACTGGAAGCCCCATGCTTCTCACCTCTGCTCTAAAGTTCTTTTTGATGAAATATTGCTATTCATTCCTGGTCTACTGTTTCCCCCCACAATGTCCTGGTACTGTTCAGTCTGCTGCTTGGCGATCATACCGATTAAGACACTCCCTGCCCCTGGAAAGATTCCTGAGCCTTCAAAGAAATTCAACTCATGCTAGTTTTCAATCACTGCAAGGCAAAATTTAATCTGAATTTGAAGGAATGTTGTGCAGCTGTTAATGGAAGAATAAGAAAGCCCTAAACACTCAGAGGTTATAAAGCTGGAAAAAGCTTTAAAATGGTGTGTGTGTGTGTGTGTGTGTGTGTGTGTGTGTGTTATGTATATGTATGTATGTATGTATGTATATATGTGTGTCTATGTGCAGGGCTTTCTTTCAGCCAGAACTTGATGGAACTGAGTTCTGGCACCTCTCAGGTGGGTGCCATTGCCATTCTAAGAGAATGAGGGTGACTTTAATGGTGCGTTCCAGCACCTCTTTTTCTAGAAAAATAGCACTGTGTATGCATGTATATGTATGTAGTCCAGCTGCACAACTCTTAGATTATTTCATCCTGCCAAAAATTCTAAGATTATCTGGTCCTGCCTTGAATCTGGTCCAGTGCTGAGGGCCTTCTGGTGGTTCCCTCATTGTGAGAAGCAAAGCTACAAGGAACCAGGCAGAGGGCCTTCTCGGTAGTGGCGCCCGCCCTGTGGCACGCCCTCCCATCAGATGTCAAAGAGATAAACAATTACCTAACATTTAGAAGACATCTGAAGGCAGCCCTGTTCAGGGAAGTTTTTAATGTGTGACATTCTAATGTATTTTTAATCTTTGTTGGAAGCCGCCCAGAGTGGCTGGGGAAACCCAGCCAGATGGGCAGGGTACAAATAATAAATTATTATTATTATTATTATTGAATTTGGATAGCTGAAGGAGAAGGAGCTGATAGCAATGTGGTGTAGGTGTGAGAAAGAGAGAAAGAGAGAAACAAAAAGTTGCAAGGGACGTGGTGAATTGTTTAACCCCGCATTCAGTTAACTGGTAACTTGTATGCTAGTTCAATGGTAAAACTGCTCATTCCACAGCTTTGCTATAAGTTCTCATTTTATATCATATATGTCATCACCCCTGAGAGAGTTGCATACACAGCCTGCATGGTGTTTCTCCTGTGTCTCAGATCTTTCTGACCTGGTCTCTAGAAGCAATTGTAGCTATTCAGTGGGAGCCAGTTATCAATTGCCCCAAACAACACAGCCTCTGAGGATGAGCAGATGGCCTTTATTTAAGACTATTCCAATTTCAAGTCCCATAGGTTCTTTTTATTTTCAGTTTTGCATTTCTACAAGTAAGCCACCTAGTTTTTATTCTAGTGTATTTATTTGTTTTCAAAGTGGCCTCATCCTTTTTGGTCTGAGACATTTATTCTCTGGTTCAATGAAAGCTGCAAATCTACCCACCCTGTGCATGTTTGACATCATCCTGGCACTTCAGGGGGCACTTCAGAAGACTTACAGTCCAGACAGAAGCAATTGTTTTGTGACTGAGTGCTTTACTATTGGTCTTATATATGCCAGACTCTAGAGGTGGCTTATTTAAAAATAAATGAATGTTGCATGAATCAGACTCATTAGTCTGTTGTTTTAAAGAACGATTAGGTATTTAAGAGCTGCTATTTGTAGAAAAGTAGATTGGTCTGTGAGATGTAATAAGCAGTGCACCTATTTTTCCCCCTCTTCCCAGAGAGAAGGTAAAAAAGGTAAAGGTACCCCTGCCCGTACGGGCCAGTCTTGACAGACTCTAGGGTTGTGCACTCATCTCACTCTATAGGCCGGGAGCCAGCGCTGTCCGCAGACACTTCCGGGTCACGTGGCCAGCGTGACAAGCTGCATCTGGCGAGCCAGCGCAGCACATGGAACGCCATTTACCTTCCCGCTGGTAAGCGGTCCCTATTTATCTACTTGCACCCGGGGGTGCTTTCGAACTGCTAGGTTGGCAGGCGCTGGGACCGAACGACGGGAGCGCACCCCGCCGCGGGGATTCGAACCGCTGACCATGCGATCGGCAAGTCCTAGGTGCTGAGGTTTTACCCACAGCGCCACCCGCGTCCCATTCCCAGAGAGAAAGAGGCACTTCAAATCCATCTTCTGAAACCTTTTCTCTTCTCAGTTACATTCATAACTAACACACTTTCTGAAAGGCATTCAATCCTGGTTGAAAGCTGGTTATGTTTATGCAGCAGGTTGTTAAATATATTTACAGTCTTTTCTAGAAGTTCAATAGGGGACTTGGCTGTGGTTATTTATTAGTCTGCTTCAAACAGCTGCCGGTTGAAATTAAAGCAAATCTATGTGTGCTATTTGCAGAAACACTAGGAATACTCTTGTATTTGCAATGAACAGTAGAAAAGGCAATTTGAGTAATGGTCAGGACATATTGTTAGCCACAATTTATATAGGTTTAATGACTTGTGTGAAGTACAGATAACCAAGGGTGTTTCCAGATGGGAGCATATTGTGAACAATGCTCCTCGTGCATGCAAGATTTTTTGGAGCATCCACATTATGTCAAAATGTGACACCATATATGAGTGTGCGCACACATTTAATCTAGATTTTTTTCCTATGGCAGAAAATCAGATAAGTAAAAAATACGTTATACATTTGCCGTCACTGTTGAGTGTGGAAGCTTATTAACTTTTTTGGGGGGGGAGTTGAGTTGGTCACATGCGTGTGGTGACATTTCAGTTGGTGGTCTCTAATGCCAGACTCCTACTTTTGTTTTGATTTTCACCTGAGCAAATCCATCCACTTTCTTTTTGGCAACCTGAACAGTAAGAGCACACCTATTTCCACCAACTGCTGCATGCTGAAAGTATGTTTGGATTTCAGCAACCCAGGTTAGGGAGAGCTGGTTCCTCAGTCTCTACACAGTACATGTAGGGGATTGATTACCTTGGATGAAGTAATATTAGTATATACATTGGACTTAAAAACATTAATGCAGAAATTGTGCACAAGACCTCTTTATCACTCTTGCGCAAGCCCTGGTCAGCTCAATATCAGTCTTGCACAAGACCTCAGTATTACTATTTTTTTAAAAAAAGAAAGAGACCTGCTCTTTTTTAGAAGCCATTGGCTATGGTGGCAGGGGGTGCGTACTGCTGTGTTCTCCAAGGTGGAGTCCCCAGAGTCTGACTAAGACTAAGGGACCTCTTCAGGCTGGAGAGGTGCTGGCATCACAGGCTCCTCTGATTCTGGAACTCCTTAGAAAGCTGTGGATTTCAAAGGCTGGTTCTGAGAGCAAATTTTCTTCCCTGTCTGATATGTCCATGGACCCTTTCCTTGAGGATAGGAGTCAGGGCCCTGGGTCTTGACAGGAACATAGGAATCTGCCTGAAGCAGGCCAGTTATGACATCAGGCTCAGAATTCCCTACATTGGCTGGAACGGTGTCTCCGGGTTTCGGGCAGGGAGTTGATCAGGGATTGAACCTGAGGCCTTCAGCACTGATCTACAGACACTCCTCCTTACTGACGTCACAAGAATGATTCAATTACACATGACAGTTGTACAACCACTAAACACACTTCAGTCAAGATAGTGATTGCTTCTGTTATGTCATGAAAGAGCTGTTTCCCCCCAGTAATCATTTGTGGTTGAATATTGAGAAGAGGCAGTTTCTTGGAATGAGGGCACACCATTGCAAGGAACCATTTGCATACCTGCAAGTAAAGGATTACAAATGGATAGCAGTTTTTCCTCCTAGATGTATTATGTGGTATTAACATTTAGTGGATGAATCATGCGCTGGAAACACCACTTTCTTTTGGGAATGGTCAGATATTTACCTCTCTTCCTGCTCTAATGTGGTTGCAACAGTAAACGAAACCATGAAATACACCTGGCATGAAATAAGACACCTGCCCAAAATATGAGATCTGTTCATAAGAGGAAACATAAAGTGTTTAGTGAATTACAGCTGACGTTTTGTTTGATCACATACTCTCAAATGCATCTTTGGTTTGGGAGGTCAATGGGCCTGGTTTTTAATGTTTGTTATAACTGTGGATTATTAAATACATTCATGCCAACTCATACATTCATTTATAGTTTTCAATAAAAATATTAAATGATACATACAAAATGTTAGACAAATGAGCATTGATTAATCATGTAATTGAATCTCCTTAATGTTCATCTAGTCTTATTAATTCATTATGGCTGTGGGTTAAACCGCAGAGCCTAGGACTTGCCGATCAGAAGGTCGGCAGTTCGAATCCCCGCAACGAGGTGAGCGCCCGTTGCTCGGTCTCTGCTCCTGCCAACCTAGCAGTTTGAAAGCATGTCAAAGTGC